GTGAACACCTTACCTGGTTTCTTGCCTGTTTTACGACTGCCTAAAGCTATATTAACTCTCAACGTCTCAAATGGTCCATGGCTTGGGGTCTAAACTTTGCGTTCTAGCCCTTTTCTGGAACAGAGCTTGTTCCAAAACTTGCAGGAGCGTCAAAGACAAGAAGAGAGCTGTTCACCTTCCTATCGCTCACGGGTGCACGTGGGAGCTATACTCCAGTGATTGATATGCTGCACTGCAATCATATGTTTGGCGTCCATGCATCAGTCATAATAATTAAGGTTTTCCATGGCTATGCCCGAACACACTTTGCTTTACATGCGTCATTAAATACATTTTATACAAAAAAAATATCACACGACATTTTCGTATGAATGTGGTCCTTTTAGTGTCGAAGTAAAGCGCGTGAACATAGCGGAGATAATGTATTTATATAACTTGAATCCAACACACCACTTGAACCTGCACTATTTATTCTTAACCTATGTTTAGTCTTTATAAAATATTTATTTAAATTTGGTCATTTGTATTCATTGCACGTCTTACGCTACTCAGCTTAAACACTCCCTCGTTAATGTACCCCAACGCCATGGATTTATTTCCATGAATAGCTTCGGAGGTTGCTTTTTTTTACTGTAAAGTTCATGAAATTTGTTAACATATACAGGGTGCCTTTTAAGCTAAACATATGTGTTTAAAAGAAAGACGTGAAGGCTACACTTATGCGGTTTGTGCAACTGAGTTCTACCACAGGGGGACAATATTATAGAGGGCGATAAAAAGGCTAACTAAGAACAATTTGTTAATTAATTAATTTATTATTGAAAATAAACAAATAGTTCTAATTAAAAACTAGCTTAGCGTCATCAAATGCCACTAAATCAGTATGTGTGAGGAAAAACTTAGTTAGCACTCGTGCAGCCGGAGCAAGGCTACCGGAGCGATAACGCGCCGCTCGATTTTTCCGTTTCTTACCATACCTCGAGCCTTGTACACCGGTTGCACAAGCGTTACTTGTAGCGTACTACCACGCTTCCCACGCGCTCAAAGTATTTCTAAAAAAAATAAATATTGATTTAGTGACTTTCGACGACGCTCAGCAAGTTACTAATTATTACCATATGTCTTTTTTCACTAATTAAAAAGTTAACCAACAACTTTGAATTAATAAGCCGCCAAGTCGGCCACTACAGACAATGACGCAGCCGCCTTCATGATGCCCCCCGTTGCCTCATTGTTTTTGTATTGAACATATAATATCACGGGGATGCGGGAAAGGCCTATAGAGACCGCATACCATAAAAGGCGGAAAGGTAGCCCACGCATATTTTTCTTTTACAGCGGAGTTGTTAAGGGCTAGATTCTCCATGATCGTGTCCACCAGCAAACAAATGATGGCACCAAACTCGGGACAGCTACCGCCATCTATGAGCGATGGCGGCAAACAGACAAGTGGTTGCAGCCGTCTCTCGTAGATGGCGGCAACCTTACTACGGAGGAAACAGAGCGGGAGCGGAACAAGCGGCGATGTGCCCAGCAGCGTAAATGATTCCGCAACCGCCGCGAGGCCGCTACCGCCTAAAGTTCCACTTCGTCGAGCGCTTCAGATTCCCTTGCAAAAGAAGGGCAGATCGCTCGCCTGGAAAGCCACCGCCGAGAACAGAAGCTACAGCTCCGCTGCTCTTTCTTCTTGGCCAGAGTGGAAAGAAGGAAAGTTTTTTTGTTTTTTTATCTCTTCACCGCGAGTGGGCGTTCATTCCGGATTCTATGGCAGCTCCTTTTATAAACATAATTTCTGAATAAACCTGTTCCCCATCTGTCGATTTTCGTCATAAGGTCAATCTGAAATCTCAGAACATTCTATTTTGGGTTTTATAGTAGCAGCCTGCCTTAGTTCTCGTAGATAATAATATTTGCTTGTAGAATCGAGAGGTATTTGCAAAGGCAATAGAACCACAAGAGTTTAATTTGAGTACACTATGATTTGAGCGAACCAATGCCGATTCTAACAGGTGAGTATAAGTATACTTTACAGTTATGATCCTCCATTAATTACACACGCTTATCAATATTTGTGAGTTTCCAAGTATTTCTTTAAAAGAACAAGCGCTTTTTGGGTTAAATGCCAAATATGTGAAATGATTTTGTGTGAAAAGTTGGAAGAATAGGAGTGGAGGGAGAATAAAAAAGCCTTTTCACATGACAGTTGCAGATTATTACCAAAGTGGCGTCCGCTTATTCGCAATCTTCTTTGAGCTTATCTCATTACCTGCACGCACGTGTAGATGGCACAAATGACAGTTACAAAAACTCTTTATGGTTTATTTTTGAATCTCTAACGCAAGAACGTTCGTTTGCCTATGAATCGTAAAAAAAAAATATAGATATTAATGGGATTTTTGACAAAACTACAAAACCGTAAAGCACTCGAAAGACAACAACAAAAAAAAAAATCAATTTCCAGGAGACAGTTTTTTGATACCATGATTTGATATAATTTTCTGGTAAAATTACTTTCGTGTAAAGATACGGAACAAAAGTAAAAATGAATCCGCGCCGAATTTTTCGCCAACACCCGTCCAATTTGTTCGACTGCACCCCACGGGCACCTCAATGGCACTTGAAATGAAAGGTCCCTGCGGAATCGCTGAATACGTTCACACATTTTCGTTTAGCCCAAGACATCCGCTTATGTTCTCGTTACTCAATAACAAGGAGGTTATAATGGGCAGGAGGTGGCGTCCCTATCCCCAATGCATGGAGCGAAGTGTAACGGAAGTAGGCGTGGCCACGAGCCGCAACGAACATTTCTTGACCAATGGGAAGCCTAGTTAGTGGGCGCCGCCATTAATTTCGGTGCAAACAACCGCGTTGCCATGACATTTCCGTGCCAACACGACTGTGTGCACCGAAAGTAATGGCGGCGCCCACCGTTATTGGAAACAGCGCTTGACGGGAGACTTTTAAACCGGTATAAACGAACGCCTGGTTGCCCAGCAGAAAGTAAGTGACTAGAATTGAGACGCTCTAGACGACGCACCGTGAAGGACTTGGCGGTGCGCAACGTATTTTTTAATAAACAGCAGCAGCAGATCGCACGAGCGCGCATGCAAAGCCAGGAGCGCACAGAACAACGGGCTCGCGCTTCCAGTTCTGACTTCGCTCGCACATAATGTGGAACTAAGTATAAACACTCACGCTGCAAAGCATTTGCATCGTGGACGCCCACGGCGGACGCCGACCGCATCGAAAGCTAGCCTCGTGAAGCACACGCCGGAGCAGATTAGAAAGCAGACGAACCGCCGGTGCGCTCCTCGGAATGGGTGCGCAAGGCAGTCTGGGATTAAACGCCTCTTCCGGCTTCACTCAGGCTGACGTCATGCCGGGTCCTGTCTTTTTAAACGTCCTTGCTCAATAATCTTTTTTAGAATTCATTAGGGTGTTCGCTTCTCTGGCAAGGTCATGTCTGGCACGGCAGTGGTTCTACAAGTGATAACGAGGAATATCTGACAACTACTTGAGTGTGGTGGGCACCGTGTTGGAAGAGCACGCCTACGCCTTTGTTGATTAACTTCGTCGACCTGATTAAGCTAGTTAACAGATCATTCTTAAAACTAGCAGCTGTGCAACAACATGAACGGAGTAAAACAAGACTGACAGACAGCAGCACTGCTCTCTATCAGTCTTCTTTTACTCTGTCCTTGTCGTTGCGTTGTTTGCACATTTAAATGTAAATTTGTCTTCTGTGATATCCTATATAATGCTCTTGGACACATTTTCGTTCCCCCCATTGGCACAAACGTAAAATAAATCAATTTATTGGAACTTGCAAAGACATATCTGAAATGTTTTTTACTTTAAATTAAAAAAAAAAATGTCTATGGACAAAAACAATTTAGCCGCTTTGAAGGGAAACGATTTGGGAGCGATTCTGACGAACATTCTTGATCGCGTGAGAAAAATATTGACACAAACCAGTGTCTTGGCTTCCTAGTATCAGTTTACTAGATAAGACTGCTTGAAAGAGAAGCAACGTGAAAGCCAGCGTATGAGCTGAAAGCCGCTATACTGGTTCCTCAATGCGTTTAAACCTACTCTACCTTTCACTGCTTTCTTTTCTATTGTTTTAGCTCAGACACTGTTTCTAGCAAGTTGACGTAGGGTTAGTATTTTATTCCGCTTGAGTGCGAGAGCTCTTTTGGCTGTTGATTAGTCGTTGTGTCAAGTTTTAGTTGGGTGAGCGTTATCTACGACTGAGGTGTGCTTGATTCGCTTGCGACTACACGATCAGGCATTATTATGATGACAGCTTTTCACCGACAAACGGATTGTGAGGGAGGTCTCCCGGCCTGTAATGTGCTTGTCAAGGGTGTTATGTTTATCTACCGTTTGTTGTCAGCTTTCGTGCGGAGGCAATACGACGAAAAGTTTCCAATGGAAGTACGGGCTGTCGGTAGCAGCGATAACGATTTCCGAGTGCTTTCAGTATCATTTCGCGCGGCACTCAGCAGTAGGCCCATTTTTCCTGGTTAAGTTGTCAGATGTAAATATATGCTTTCTTGTTTTATCGTCTTCTACGAGTGACACCTCGCGGCGGAGGAATCCGCGTTCTTTGTTACGGTTAGCAGGCGAGTTTTCTGCTAATGACAACTTGGCTCGCTTCATAAGGGCCAAATAAGATCGCTGTCTCGTTCTCGCGGAGAACCGAATGGGATACCCGAGCCGCCTTTAGATGTGAGAACGTCGATGCCAATTTTTGAGCCGTTAGTTTCTATGTGTTATGTACCGCGTTTTGTTTCGTTGTTTATATTCTTTGTGGTCATATTTTGGTTTTTGCTTTCATCTTACTCGTTTCAATGCATATGTGAATACTTCTATGTGACTATAACACTCCGTTCAATAATTATAAAATGCGCTGTTCTTTGAAGACTAATGTTTCTTTTAAAGTGAAAACCGGACCTTAAGAATAAAGTTTGATTTCAAAAGATTGCAGACGGTCTTACCATTGTCGCTGGGTTGATTGAGCCAAAGCTCCTGATGTAGATCTCGCAAGACACGTTGGTTGCTCCTCCTAGAGTGAAACAAAACGATAAAAATTTAGCTAGAATGTATTCGAACCATGTTAGCATCTAGGGCGTCAAGCGCGAACTTAGGACTTACCCAAGTGTCCCGTCGGCATCGCCCGCCTATCGTACTTGCTGAGCAGCTTATCCAGTTTGTCGAGATCTCCAACAGTTCCGTACTTCCTGCAAAAAAGTAAGCCCGCTTTTGAGTGACATTTTATGTTTCCAGTGAGTATCTGTGATATAATTATTGAGAATAATCCAGGCCAGTTGTCAAAATTATAAAACATATATATCACAATTGATGCATGTTTTCAGTCCCATAAAAATGCAGTATTTTTGTTTGAGCAGACCAAAACCGTTTTTGTTTCCCAAAATATTGGTTTACCGATAACCACCTGTGTTTCGGTAATTGTTCTTTTTGTCTATGTTTGTATGTTTCACTTTTGTTACTCCATGCACTCGTGATACCATCTATTTTGACCTGGATTTACTCCTAGCTAATTGTCCTTTCTCGCTCTCCTCTGGTAGCGATGTGAAAATGCTCAGCAAATGTAGCTTCTTCACGTTTCGAGGGAAGTATCTTTCAATGCCACCTGTGTCTGATAATGTCTCTGTTTCAGACATGTACAAGTTACTCGAAAAAGGTAATTAAGTTACTGAGTAGTGGCGTCCAAAGTAATTTCACTAGAGCAGGAATTATTCAAATGAAAAGTAATGGAGTAAATTACTAACTACTGCAAAAAAGTAGCGAATTACTTTTGAAGTTACTTCTATATTTTTTATAGCAACAAGGAAGTACATAACTGTTTTGATCCGTTGGCGAAATTCTGCTCCGGCTTGTATTTTCGCATAAATGCTTTATTAGCTGGTTCTGATTTTGCGTAATTAATTGTTTTGTACTTTTGTTTTCCGGTCAGAAAATTTCTGCGGATGTATCATTTATACCGTGAGGTTTAGCACTGCCTGAGCTTGATTTCGCAGTGTGTGTTTGCTTGTTTGCAGTGTTGCATAAAGTATATCTGAAAAGTACTTGAACTAAAGTTGTGGATTTCCTCTTTAAGGGATACCACTTAGAAACACAATAGGTCCCTTCGGTCCGGATAATGACGTGTTTATTTGACGATAACGCCACACGCTTGCCCGAGGGACAACAATGCCAGTGATAACGGCGCTGTCTCTATCGACAGGATCGATAGTCAGAGTCCGCGCTGCCGCTATTGAGAGTATCACGGAGGGGGAGGATCTGCAAAAGAAAGGAAGGCTTCGTCAAGCAGAGCCTCCCCCAGCGAGACTCTTGCCCGTTGGATCTGGGCCATCTTATATAGCTTGCGGGAATGGACGCGCCTGGGGTGGTCCGAGTGTAGGTGTGCTTCCTGGAGGGGCGGACGCGTCCAAGTCACGATCCCGAGGGGTGTGCCTTCGTCAAGTCACCCGAGGGCCGAGAAGCGCGAGGGAGAGCCGTCCGCAAGGGCATACAGCTTTCCCTAGCATCCGGAACGCGTCCCCACATGGCAACGCCCCACGGCCTGCCTGAGCGAGGCCTAGATAGGAACGTGGTTCCCACAAAGTACGAAATCAAATTGAGGTTATGTACTTCAAGTATAGTAAGTACGCCGCGTGCAATGTATGTGATGCAAAGTACTATAAGTACAACATGCTTTTAAAGCAAAGTAGAAATACGTTTTAACACAACTTTTCATGATATTTCATTCCCTATTTTTTCAAACTTTATCTTAAATGGTACGCATTGCTCCAGGGGCAACCGGAGGAGTATCATTTGTTTTCAGAAATGGCGACAGATATTGGTTAAAGTCAAGTCGCTACAGAGAAATTGTCTTACCCTCGCTGACGAACTATTTAACACAATACAGTTATAAGGCACATAGTTGTGTCTGCCTTATAACCGCCATTGCTTCACTCAGAGAAATGACCATGCCGATAACGTCTCGAAAGGCGATAGCGCGTTTTCACATGACGATACGCGATATTTTGTTTCCAAATTTGGGGAATGTACTTTGAAGTCGGAAATTTTATTTCAGAAATTACCAGAAATATTCTTTAGTAAAGTACAAGTATATGCACAGAAAATGTTCTTCAAGTAAAGTAGAAGTTTTCTAATCCTCATTGCAATAGTACTTTAAATACCATTGTCTTAAAGTTTTATACACCTCTGCTTGTTTTTTTGTTTTTTTGCTTATAAAAAAAAAAAAAAAAAAAACATTGGGGGAATTATTAAGCTACTCGAACGATCTTCGAATCTTGGAACACCTACGTATGCTGTGTTTTGGGACGAAAGGCAGCAAAGAGGTTACCTTTACGTTGCCCTTTATCATGAGATGCTTTAAGTATAGCTCTAACTACGGAAGTACCAGGTGAGCTTCAAAGCGGGTGATGCATTTTGTTGCCACCTCTGAGTGAGGCTGCAGTGTGTACGCTTCCTGTAGCGGGCGAGAGCTCCTACGTTGGGCAGAAGTGGAGACAAGTCCTTTCTTCAAATGTGTCAAGTTTCCTTCAGCTTCAGGACACACACAAAAAAAACCACCAGCCTTCAGTGTTAATCCCGCCGTTACTCGGCCTCCCTTGCGACATATCTGTCCACTCCCCGCGCCTCGCAGTAGGGTTGTTGCAGTGGGGGGCTTGTGAAAAGTTTAGTGAGTTTCTGACCCTCCAAACCATCCTCCCCCCGCCCTCCCCACCCTTCATACGCGACACGCTTCCCCCTCTTTGCAAATATCAGTTCACCTTCCAAGATATTATATCTTTTCATGCAGGAATGTTTGTTGATAAGCAAACCTGCCACTAAAGTTGGAAAGTAATTTGTAATTTGAGTAGAAGTTAGTCGGAAAAAGTATTCGAAGTAAACTATTGATTACCGAAATATATATGTAATTGAAAATTACTAAACTCCTCAACCAACAGTTAAACTACAGTAACTGAAGGAGAGTAATATTTGAACTACATAGAAGTCTGCAAAAAAAGACGTGATTCTCACGATAGATCACTTAGAGCGTTCTATTTTGCCAAAACTGCTGTCACTAGTGTCACTAGAAAAAGTGAAGGTGCAGGGGAACGAGCGACAAGAAAGTTACAGAAGCCTCGTGGACAAGTAAAACGTGGGGTTTTCGTGCGTTTTTTTTTTTTTTTTTCACGACAGTTAGAAAGTTGTTTCTAAGTATGTGGCTCGGATCACACAGCGGCGGGTTCGTATTGAAAGCTTAAACCGATTGGAGGTGTTGCCATTAACAAACATCTTATTATTTTCCCCGTGGTGTACTCGCATCTACCACGAATATACCCTTTTCTTTGCAAACGGCACCAGGCAGTGCTACAGTCTTTGACGTCGCAGCGAATTTCTGGTTCATAAAAAGAATGAACGGCGCGTGAAACATCGATGAGACATTTAACCACAACTTTTTCAGGTGAACGCCAAGAGAGCCAAGAAGCGAGAGATACGTTCAGCATTTTCGAATATTCTTGTAAACCAAATTGTCTCCTCCAAGACGTTAACTCGCACAGCCGAAAGCCCTCACTAAATCGCCAAATTTATTTTTTGTGTAGCATTTATGCTTTCTAGCACTGGTAACATAAGCACACTCGAGAGGTTTGCAAAAACGGTGCGACCGGAAGTCGATTGGAACGCAAGGAGCGGCTCATGTTTACAAAGAGTAAAAGGATCTATTGTAGACTACGAGTACTTCGGTGAGTGATCGCCTTTCCGCTAACCTCGCTACTAGTGTACCATGTTCTTAACCCGAGACTGGGGTATAAACAGAAACTTAAAAGTAGAAGGGACAGAGGCAAGTGAAGAAGAGAAGACGTTCTCTTCTTCACTTGTTTCTGTCCCTTCTACTTTTAAGTTTCTGTTTCTACCCCAGTCTCGGGTTAAGTTCCAACATGGTAAATATCCGCCAGCTCGCCTGTACTTTAACCGTTTTTTCGCTACTAGTGTTTGACCTGAATAAAATGATATAATGTTGTTAGTCCGCCCTTTATAAATGTTTATGTTTAAAAAAACAAGCGTCTGCTTGAAGCGGGTGTTACGAAGCAAAAATAACAATAATGTCTTAATATGTTCTCCCTTTAGAGCGCATTTTCTGGGCAGGGTGATGAAAGCGCGGATTGCAGATCAAAAGCGGTTCCGAATTTTGCGGATGCATATCGGATGCTAATAAAACAATTTAAGAACATTGCGGATGCGATTCGGGTGCGATTAGAAAGTCTGCGGATGCGGATCGGATGCCTATGATTAAACTGTTATTCACTCATGGCTCTAGTTGTATAAAACAGTCGGGGACAAAAGTCCCCAGGACGCGCGAGCGGCGACTGAAACGGATTGCTCTGCCATCTGTCGGCGGGTCGCCTGGTTTCGAGATCACACAAAAGCGCATGCGCGTCCTACTGTGCCTGCAAATATGTGTTATTTTCCCGCTCTTCTGCGGCGCGAAGATACGGCCTGCGGTATTGCGCCGCATATCGACATGTCAGTGCACCGTGTTTTATAACCAGTTGGGCTTATCGCTCAGTTGAGCTGCCGGTGACTTCTTGCTTTATAGGTGCCATGCCACTAAGGCGGTACCACGCGCCCGATTCCGAGTTAGGCATTCCACTGCAGAATAGCGGGAAAACACACATGTTTGCAGACAGAGGAGGACGCGCATGCCCTTTTGTGTGTCCTCGAAACCAGGCGACCCACCGGCAACTGGCAGAGCAATGAGTTTCAGTCACAGCCCGCACGTCCTGGGGACTTTTGTCCCCGGCTGTACATTGCCGCGTGCGTTGCGAGGTTGGCCACACATGCGGCAGCCACACGGAGAAACGGGGTTCCAACCCCCTCGGCCTGGATCTTTATTTTGTCTGATTTTCTACCCTTCTGGAAAGTTCTAGTCCATTCTCGGTAAGGTAGGGCTGACGCGGTGCTTGGGGACAGTCGCCCTCTCGTCACCGACGCAGAACGCGTGGCAATTATCTATGTTTATTGTATATAGGTACAATTTTGCCATAAAAATACTTACTTCTTTGCTTTAAATTTGATTGCATCCTTTTTATTCACCTTCAATAGGTATACATATATAATAATGTTCAAAACAAAAAACAACAAGAAAGCAAATCAAATTAAAAAATTTAAAAGTGTGCGTGATTTGTGCGGGACGCGCATTCCATGCCTTCTGTTCCTAAAGTAA